CCTTTGTCAGAACAAATGCGCTCACTGGCACTTGAGACAATCAATATCAACTTTCCTGCAGATCAATGTTTCTAAATCTTCACTGATGGTCATACATAGGAAAACAGGCACAATTTGGTGCAAATATTCCCTCTCAACTTTTTTTCTTTCTACGCAACTGCAAGGCAAAATAGATACGATTTTAAAAAGATAATTGAGGCCGTTAGGAAAGCACTAAGTCAGTTATATCGTCTCGAACGGGTATACATGTACCTTCTTGCCCATGGGGAAAGCTGAAATCCACTTAGGGGCTAATGATAAATATCAAAATCATGCAGTAAGAAAAATATAATTATATTTTTCGTTTCATCATTATGTTTTAATAAATTCTTGCCTATATAAAATGCACTACCACTACTTATTCATTTAAGTATATAAGATAATCAATTGATAAAATATATACCCAATCCCCGTTTTTTTATTCAAATTTCCAAATTTTGAAGCGATGCCTGCGTGTTGGAAAACAAATTAAGCTATTAAAAAAAGCTTAGTATTTTGCAAATATTGGCTGCCTCAAGTAGCACATTATACTTCAAGTCAGGTTTTCAGATCATAATTTTTGGTGGCAGAGGTGTTTTAGATTATCGTATACAGTCTCAAAAGTGCAGCCTTGAAATAAAATCGACCGCCGAATAAAACAAACAATAGAGTGTTACATTCAAAGGTATTATGGGAGTTGAAAATGCTTTCGCTTGAAGTGGTATGCATGTGATTTTCATCTCAATGACTACATTTAATGCGTTACAATAGTGACAGGGAATTTCAACTTCATATTTCAAAGTCATTTTCCTGAATAATCATTAATTCCATTTGACAAGAGTCCTTAAAATCAAGCTTGAAAATAATTATTCGCACGCAAATTAGATCTTTAGCTTTGTGTTTGAAAGCGCGAAAATTAAGTCAAGTCATTTAATTTAATTAAAATGACTTCGGCCTATCTATGTGCCTATCATTACGCTGGAACACTAATTCTAAAGTTTAAATGATTCGAAAATAGTATTATCCAGGGCTACGCCATTGGAGCTTAAAAAAACAATTCATTTCAGCTTTGATTTCGACTTATTTATTATTATTATAAGTTTCAATGTTAATTTAAACTTAGAAATGATTTCCACAAAGTATTTTTACTGAGATTCAGTTTCATTAATTTATGGAAATTAAAATAGAAACTAGGATCTTACTACTTTCCGTATTAAACCTACAACAATTAACTTACCACCTAACTATTTAAGAAAAATCTATTTATTCGCGGATAGATATACATAAACAATATGCATGTATTCCTTGAAGTTTTAGAATATTAAAGCAATAATGCACCAAAAGATAAAATAATATAAATAATTTAAAACAAATCGTAAAATGAAAATCATTCTGAATATCCTATTTAAGTTCAAGTATGCAAAATCAAAACAGATTTTGTTGCTTGTTCTCATAGTATTCCGTCTCTAATTCAATGCTCTTACTTGAGGCCTTTCCTTAGTTTGGCTGCTAAAATTCGTTTATATATATATATATATTGGCGAGGATTGGTATTAAGCATAACACGCTAAAGTAGATAAAATCATTCATTGAACAAAAATCATGTAAAGTCAGATATGGAAGTGCTCTATCAAAATTAAATCTTTTACAAACAGGCCTTCCACAGAGACCTGTCACAAGCTGCCCTCTGTTCAAAGTCTTCATCAATGATATAGCCGAATTAGTACAGACAGTCACAGGCATCAAGTGCTTACTCTATGCAGATGGTCTTGTTCTATGGTATTCAGCCCCTAAGAAAAACGCTCAGGAGAGGACAGAAAGTGCCCTAAATAGTGCACTTAAACTACTGGCAAACTGGTGCGACAACATTGGAAATGTAATCAACGCCGCGAAAACTGCATTCTAAATTTTTTTGGCCCGTCACAGCATAAACTTGCTTCTAAGGTATAAGGATACTAACCTAGAAAAAACCAAAGAGTTCATTTATCTCGGAATGACGTTTGACACAAAGTAAACGCGCTGAAAGTTATATTGCTAAAATAGTAGAACGAGTCTTCAATGTAATAAATGTACTAAAGCGTCTTGCTGGTAGCGTGTGGGGCTGTGCACGCTCAACTCTCAACACCACTTACAAGATGTTTATTCAGCCAATAATGTTGTATTGCTGTGAGCCGCTCATTACAGCCACAGAGGGGACTCTCAAACTACTCGAGAAGCCACACAACCAAGCATTACGACTAATTACTGGAGGGTTAAAATCAACACCCATTGATGCAATGCTCCTAGTTACAGGTTGCACCACAATATATTCCCCTATCAAAGAAAAGACCTTGATTCTGTATGAGAAGCTACTGCACATTCCCATGGATAAGTTCTTCAGCACCTGTGAGCATAGACCATGACATCTGAAAACGCAATCTGGTCTAATATAGAAAGCCATATCACAAATCAATGACAAACCAAAAAGCCTCCCTCTTCCCATGTGTCTAATATAGAAAGCCATAGAACTGAAGAAAGAATTTCAAATCGATGACAAAACACAAAGCCTCTCTCCCCCCATGGACCCATTATCAGACACTGATGTAGTGTGTTGCACCCAACTGCTTGACTTCTTCAGGAAATCAAACACCCCTCGAGAGCAAATGCGCTCACTGGCACTTGAGACAATCAATGTCAACTCTCTTGCATATCAATGGCTCCTAGCAAGCAAACGTTAGTGCAGGTGTCTATTCTGCACTCTTCTCTTTCTACGCAGCAGCGGGACACAAAAGATCTGCTTTTGAAGGAGAAATATATGCCATTAGGATAGCGCTATGCCAACTGTTTTGCCTAGATACGCAATTCACCAAAGCGGTAATACCTTCGAACTCACAGTCACCAATAAACTCAATTGGAAGCAGAGAGCCACCCAAAACAGCGAATAAACTCAATTGGAAGCAGAGAGCCACCCAAAACAGCTAATAAAGGTATAACAGAGAGACACCCAAAACAGCTGAGTTAAACGAGTGGAAACAGAGAGCCACCCAAAACAGCTGAAGGCTCTATTGGAAACAGAGAGACACCCAAAACAGCTGAGTTAAACGAATGTAGAAAACCCTATGAGCTGCTGAGAGAGAAAAACAAAGCAAACAGAGAGCCACCCAAAACAGCTGAGATAAAGGAATGCAAAAAACGCTATCAGCTGCTGAGAGAGAAAACGAAACAGTGGTCCTACAATGGATTTCTGGTCACTCTGGCAAAACATATTCACAGATTGGGAGTACACACTCAACCCACATGCCCTCTATGTAACATACAGGGGGAAATGGAAAAGACCCACCTGATTCTCTACAGGAGAAAATGGAGAAGACCCACCTGATTCGGTGTTCACCAGAGGAGGAAATGGAGAAGACCCACCTGATTCGATGTCCAGCCCTAAAGACAAGTACGGAAAGCCAAAGATACTGGTATACAGGAGGAAATGGAGAAGACCCACCTGATTCGGTGTTCAATACAGGGGGAAATGGAAAAGACCCACCTGATTCGGTGTCCAGCCCTATGAAATGGAAAAGACCCACCTGATTCGGTGTCCAGCCCTAAAGACCACGACGGAAATCCAGAGTTACTGGGAAACAGGAAGATAGCTAATGAATTGCTATATATGTACCCCCCCCCACCATTGGGGAAATTGAAGTCAAAGTTTAAGCGCTAATGATGAATATCAGAAAGCCTGACATTTGAAATTATAATATTGACCAAATAGTAAGCTAATTTTAACAGTTTATCCGATTTTCCAACACCCAGGCATCGCTTAAAAATTTAGCCATTTGAATCTAAAAATAGGGGATCGGGTATATTTTAATCATTTATATTCATTTATACTTAAATGAATAAGTTGCGGTAGCTTATTTTATATATGCTTCAGATTACACTGCGTTGTTGGATCTGCATTTGTAAACATAATATGAATTTTTAAAAGCGTAATGATAAAACGAAAAAAATTGAACAAATTGCACTTTTGTTTAATTATATGTAGACAATTTTCAAATTGTGTTTGCTTATACATGCAAAACTACTTACAAAGTTAGTGTCATGGAATCATTTCAATTTCATATGTTTGAATTTGTTCGTTGAAGTGAGGTGATGGTAGTTTGAAGTGAGAAGTCAACTGTCAGTTAAAAGACTTTTTTGCGGTATGAGTATACGTTGCATAGGGTGGACCACGTGAAGGTAAGTCTATCACACACCCCTAACGCCGCTCCCTGACAAAGAGTTGAACTCGGGCCGCCTGTGTGAAAACCAGGAATATTAACCGCTGCACCATCAGGGACACGGAAATGATAACTGCATTTCTGTTGCAGAATTTTTGCAGCCCAAAATATATACAAGGCTAAGCGAAAGAAATTTTGAATCACTTCTCAATTGGGTTCAAACATAATTGATATGCTTGATAAGGCAAACTTGAAAAAAAGTAAATAAAAATAATGGCTGAAAAGAAATAATTCATTTTTACCTAATCGCAGCAGCATTCTTTTTCAATATTAGTTTAAATATTTATTTGATTGGCAACTAAGTCATTGCTGTTTTTGTTGACAGATTCACTCTATACATTCTTTTGTTTCGTTAACGTGGCCAGAGCATCTAACCTATTCTTTTGTTTCGTTAACGTGGCCAGAGCATTCAAACTATATTTTAGTCTTACTGTATGGGCTTCTAGGTTAATTAGTAAAAATTTTTTCTGTTTAGTTCTTTAGTTTTGTTTTTATTCCAATTTAAAAATGAAAGCACAGGACGTGCACTTCCGACACATTTTATTGTATTACTTCCGAAAAGGCAAGAACGCATCGCAAGCACAAAAGAAGTTATGTGCCGTATATGGAGATGAAGCTTTAAAAGAAAGGGAGTGTCGAAATTGGTTTGAAAGATTTCGCTCCGGTGATTTTTCACTGAAAAATTCACAACGATCTGGCCGCCCAGTCGAAGTGGATGAAACCCACATCAAGGCCATTATCGATTCAAATCGTCACAGCACAACACGAGATATTGCAGAAAAGCTCAATGTGTCGCATACATGCATTGAAAAAAATTAAAAACCTTTGGCTATGTCAAGAAACTTGATTTATGGATCTCTCACGAGTTAAAGGAAATTCATTTGAAGCAACGGATTAGCATCTGTGATCCGCCGCTACTGAAACGCAATGAGAATGATCCATTTCTGAAGAACCTAGTTACTTACTGGCGACGAAAAGTGAATAGTTTATAACAATGTTATTCACAAGAGATCATTGGTGAAGCAAGATCAACCAGCTCAAACAGTATCAAAAGCAGAGATTCACCAAAAAAAGATTATGCTGTCAGTGTGGTGGGATCACAAAGGAACTTTGTATTTTGAACTCATGCCGCAGAACCAAACGATAAATTCAAATGTGTATGTTGAAGAACTCGAAAAACTGAAGGATGCAATTGAAGATAAGCGGCCGGCATTATCAAATCGGAAGGGTGTTGTTTTCCATCATGATAACGCAAGGAACCCCCCCCCACACATCTTTGGTTACTCGGCAAAAATTATTGGAACTGGGTTTGGATGTTTTGTCACACCCACCATATAGCCCTGACCTTGCGCCTTCGGATTATCATTTGTTTCGTTCCATGCAAAACTCTTTAAATGGTAAAATTTTTAACAA